GGGTTTATTTCTCCTTAGTCATCAGGGAAATGCAAATCAAAGTGGCCCTTTTTTCATTTTTTTTCCAAAAAATAAGCATGTGGAGGGAGGGGGCTAAGATCGGGATGTAAAGTGAATAAATAATTTAAGAAGTTATGCCTACGAAAAAGAAGTACGTGACCACATAGTGGGAATAACCTTAGACCCATCAGAATGGCAAAGATCAAAAACTCAAGTGACAATATATACTGGAGAGGATGTGGAGAAAGGGGAACCCTCTTCCATTGCTGGTGGGAATGTAAACTTGAACAATCACTTTGGAAATCAGTCTGGTGCTTTCTCGGACAATTAAGAATAGATCTTCCTCAGGGTTCAGCTATAGCACTCCTACGCCTATATCCAAAAGATGCTCAAGTATACAGGACATTTGCTCAACCATGTTCATAGCAGCTTTATTTGTAATAGCTAGAATCTGGAAACAACCCCGATATCTTCACCTGAGGAATGGATACAGCAATTGTGGTGCATTTACACAGTGGAATACCACTGAGCAATTAAAAAGAAGGAAATCATGAAATTTGCAGGCAAATGGTGGGAACTAGAAAAGATCATCCTGAGTGAGGTATCCCAGAAGCAGAAAGACACACATGACATATTCTCACTTATAAGTGGATATTAGACATACAACACAGGATAATAAAATCTGTCCATCTGAAGCTAAGCAAGAAGGACCCTGGGAAAGATGATCAGTCCACACTCAGAAAGGCAAACAGGATAGACATCGGAAGAGGGAGAAAACAGGGAACACACAGGAGCCTACCACAGAGGGCCTCTGAAAGACTGCCCAGCAGGTTATCAAAGCAGAGGCTGAGACTCATAGCACAGTTTGGGCAGAGTGCAGGGAATCTTGTGAAAGAAGGGGGAGATAGATCGGGGGAAGAGGGGATAGGAGCTCCACAAGGAGAGCAACAGAACCAAAATATCTAGGCCCAGGAGTCTTATCTGAGACTGATAATCCAGCCAAGGACCATTCATGGAGATAACCTAGAACCCCTGCACAGATGTAGCCCAGGGCAGCTCAGTCTCCAAGTGGGTTACATAGTAATGGGAACAGGGACTGTCTCTGACATGAACTCAGTGGCTGACTCTTTGATCACCTCCCCCTGAGGAGGGGAGCACCCTTACCAGTCCACAGAGGAAGACAATGCAGCCAGTCCTGATGAGACCTGATAGGCTAGGGTCAGAGAGAAGGGGAGGGGGCCCTTCCCTACCAGTAGACTTGGGGGAGGGGGCCCCGGTCTATATAGTTCAGAACAAAAAGACCTGTCTCAAAAAACTTTTTTTTCCCCAAAAATAAGCATTTAGAGGGAGGAGGCCAAGATCAGGATGTAAAGTGAATACATAATTTAATTTAAAAAGTTATGTCTACAAAAAAAGAAGCATGTGACATATAGCAGAAATAACATTTCTATGACCTCCTTTTTGTTATTTTCATTATCTTTTTTTTTTTTTCATGGTTTTGCTTTGGCTTTCAGAGGAAGAGGGTGAAATGGGTCTTGCTTTTAACCCAGGCTAGTCTCAAGCTGTGTAGATATCTATATTATAATTTTATTTGCAAAGAAGGCTCTTGGTATTTCCCTGTCTTCAAACATGGTTTGCACTGTACAAAGTAATATGTTCTTCAAGGTTTTTCCTTTTTGCCTTTTCTTTATCACGCAGTGCCTTATTTTCCCATCTATGTTGAGACTTGCCACCTGCCAGGTGCTGTTTGCACTAAGTTCCCATTTGCACCTCTGCTTTTAAGGAGCCAGACATGTTTCCGTCTCAGATTCAGCACTGGTTTATGTTATTCATGTTATTCAGCAGTGTGCTGAGAGACAGCCCAGGACACTTGGCTTGCAGGAGCTCCCATTCCTTGTTTGTGTAAAACAGTGTGTTAGTTACTCTTCCTGTTACGACAAAATTCTGAATAATCAGCTTAAGAGAGGCTTGTTTAGCTCAGTGTCCAGTGTCAGTGAGGGCATGGCTGCAGGGCATGGTCCTCGGAGATAGGAACCTGTGTGTGCTTAGTGGTGGATCTGGAAACAAAGAGCTGAGGCCAACCAGAAGCTGACAATCCCCCACAGTCCTCAAGGTTCAACAGACTCAAAACCAGCTAGAGTCCCCAGAACCTGCGTAAAAACCCAGAAGTGATGCTCTAAGGTGGCAAAAGTCAGATTGCCAGGGCTCATTGGCCAGCATCCCTAGTCTACCTAGCCCCAGGCCAGTGAGGACCAGAGGAGCTCTCAGCCACACAGCAGCACACAACCATCTGTGAGCAGTTCGTGGAGATCCAACACCTTCTGGCCTCTTTTTAATGTGTGTATGGATGTGTTGTACCATGTGTGTCTGGTACCCAGAGTCCAGAAGGTGATGGATCCTTTACTTTGGATCTGGACGTGAGCTGTGATAATAGGTGCTGTGAACCAAATCCAGGTCTTCTGCAAAAGCAGTGTTTGTTTTTAACAGTTGAGCCATCTCAGCACCTTTTTATTTTGTTTTTTGAGATGGGGTCTCTATATTGCCTGGCCTAGCCTCAGGCTACACAGATACCTAGAGCTAACGGTGCATACCACAAAGCCCAGCTAGAACTCCCATGAGATAGATGTTTTGTGGATGTCTCCTCCATATTAATAGCCTGTTTATTTTATGTTCCATTCTACCCTCTATTTTTAGCCTGAGTACTGATTTATTTTTCTTTCAACTGCCAGATTTAACAATTCTAAAACAACTTTAATCCGCAGGAACTTACAAAGACACTGAGGGATCCCATTTCCTCCTCTTGCAGTGTCACTAGTGTTTTGCGTAACTGCCGTGTGGAGTGTAAGTGGGCAGTCACAACAGCATGTCTGAGCATGCACTGTGCTGTTTAGAGCTGTTTGGAGGAAGTTAAAGAATCTAGGCCCTCTAAAGATTTCGGGAATACTCTATTACCCAATTATATGCAGTGATCAAAATCAGGAAAATTGGCATTGACGCCTTAACAATGGTCAGCAATTCCGTGACCAGCAGGCTCCGTTCAAATTTGGCCAGTTCCAGTCAGGTCCTCCAGTGAATTTTTCTGGTATATGATATGCTCTGGACAGTGTAACGTGTTCAGTTCTCGGGTCTCTTGTACTTCTTCAAGATAAAACCTGTTTTATGTTACTTTTTCTGAGGGAAGTGGACCCGATCTTCAAATTGACTTTGGATTTGGCAGTCAGTTTCTGCCTCCTGAATGCTCCCACATCCTTATGTGCCAGCACTGCAGCCCTGTGAGATGCTCTCGCCTCGATGCACCATTAATGCCAGTGCCAGCCACTTGTGTGTCTTAGGGTCTCTACAGCTGCAGTGGGTACTGAGACCAAAAGTCACTTGGGAAGGGCTTCATATGGCTTCATACTCCATCACTGAGGAAGTCAGGGCAGCACGTGGAAACAGGAGTTGAAATAGAAGCTCTGGAAGAGCACTGACTGCCCTGCTCCCCGTGGCTTGAACGACTCAGGAAGCCTCTTGACACATGCCCATCATATTTTAAACACCTGTTGGATACATTTGGAGGTCTGAGCCCCCTGCAGAAGTGGGATCAGCCACTTCTCCAAGATTGGAAGGGATTCAGAGTTAAGCCCTGGATGGCAGTAAGCTTGGTTTAAGTTCCTACTTCCCTGGGTCTGATAATATAGCCCAGTGGCAGTAGAGCACTTGCCTACCGGGTATGAGGCAACAAAGTTTTTAGAGAAGACCGACTTCCTCCATTATTTCTTGAGAGGTTTATGTTCTCAGATCTTCAATTGGTTGAGTTTGTGATCTTGTTTATAACTACTTTTTACAAACGTTTGGCAAGGAATATAGTTACTCATCTTTGCATTAACCTGTCCCTCGCTGTCTCCCTGTGAGTCCTCTGCTTCCCTTAGGGCCAGGTGATGGGATGGCAGAAGAAGACAAAAACAATCCTCTTGCCTGTTCCAAAGGATTCTGGTTTTCCCTTCACCATCTCCCTCCCCGCCCCCCACCCCCACTTAGCCTCCTTCCAGTTCTATCACTGTCTGGAGTTTTCCCGATGAAAGATGGAAAGTTTCAGGCTAAACCTAAACAGCTTTCATGCTTTTAACATAAGATGAGCCTTAAAATATGGGAGGGGAAGGAGGGAGAGGGGATGGCGTCTTTAAGAAGGCCACTCTCACTACCCCTGCCCTTTGGAACCCAAGTCTCTGTGCATGCAACCAAGGGCTCTCCCACTGCCACACGCATCCTAGCAATCACATCTTAGACTATGTATCCTCAACTAAGACAGTGATTACCTAGCCATGATATGGTGATCGTGGTTCATATGAGGTCACTTGTGGCTGACCACACATGCTCTATTTCAGAAATACTCTTGGCAACTGAGATGTGATATTCAGAGAAATGGTCAAGGTCAGGGGACTCCAGAGTGCTGGATGAGAGCTGTTAGTTTAACCATCTTGCTACAGATGTTAAAGGTTAGCAGGATTGTGGCGTAGCTCATGGTCAAACCATCAGTGTTCATCTGACACCGATACCTCAGCACACTGGAATGCACAGAGGTTAGTAGCAAGTAATTCCTGAGGGTCAATTATTTGAGTTGAGGACCCCAGCAAGCAATGAGAATTGCTAGCAACCCATTACCAAGTCAAATCCCATTTAATATGGAGAAGAGGATGTCCAACCAACCTTGAGCACTACCGAAAGCCTGCTTCATTTCCTGACGACTGTGTGGCTGCTCTCTTGAGCCTGTTGTGGGGTCTAGAGACTTGAAAATTGTCACATTCAGGAAGAACTGCCATTTTGCGCTGTCCTGTCCAGTGACTGTGTCCCTGCCTGCTGAGAAGGCCTCTAGATAGTCTTTGTAGAATGAACTGAATATTAATCGCTGATGGCAAGTTCGCCTGGAACGAGAGTCACTTTTACCCTAGTTTCATTTTGTCCCGTTTCCCCATGAGCTTCACAAATGTTTTCCCTTTCAACAGTAAACAAGGCAGGGCTTTGGAGGGCATCGCTTTATTCCAAAGTTGATTGTTACCAGGAGAGCTTAATTTCCCTCTTCCCTTCCTTAAAGATGCTGGGGGAAGGTGTGGAGTGTCATGATAGTGGGAGAATGAAAGGGATGAAGGCCACACGGTGTTGTCCCTGTTTGACATCTGTTGGCCTTTGCACTGAGCGAAGCGAGGAGACAGGGACGTGGAACTAAAATTAAATACACAGATACAGACAAGGGGCAAGGTGACTGAAAGTTAAAATAGCTTGTTCTGAGGCAGCAAAACAACGCATCCCAGGCTAGCCTTGAACTTGTCAGGAAGCTGGCGGTGCTGCGAATGTGTGATCCTCGTGCTTGCTCCACGTGCTGAGGTCACGGATGGGTGCCACCAAACCCAGTTTATACAGTTCTGGCAACCGGATCCAGGGCTCCATTTCCTTTCCCATGGCTGATTCAACCAGGTGGTAACTCCCTTCTGAAACCAGAAAGGCTGGGTTTTTGTTGTTGTTGTTGTTTTGGTTTTCTGAGACAGGGTTTCTCTGTGTAACAGAGCCCTGGCTGTCCTGCACTTGCTCTGAACTCAGAGATCAGCCTGCTTCTGCCTCCCAAGTGATGGGATCAAAGGCATGCATTCCCATGCCCAGTGAAAGGCTGTTTTTAACTAGCTTTTCTGTAGTAATAGGACACTTGTTTCCAATTTCAGGGGAGGAAAAAAGGATTTTTTTTTTCTTCAAGTTTTTTGAGGTATTGGAAAGAGAACCTGGGACCTTTTGCATATCAAATGCTGTCATTGAGCTACACCTGAAAAGGTTTAAATGTTGTACAGAAGTTTCCAACTACCGAAGGAACGAAATGGGAGGAAAAAGCTGTAGAAATGATTGTCTCAGAGCCAAGACAAGCCATGCCATTGGGAAAGGCATAGGAAGCCCAGCTCCCACTCCAGGCACAGGCCCAGTCCAAGGAGCAGCATTCCTGGCCTCCCTGTGTGTCCAGAAGAAGGTCTTTGCAGAAGGTGTCCAGGAAAGGGCTAGGCCACGAGATGTTCTCCAGCCATCGCTGGCCAAAGCCTTGGGCTAAGAGCAGCTGGCAAGTCTACCATGTCTGATGCAAGCTGAGGGGGTTCAGGTCTTGAACATCAGGAAGCCCCCAAATGCAGTGCCCGGTTGGCTCTCCTTTATTACAGACCCTTGGATTAACTCAAACCACACCCTCTCACCCCTTTGCAGCTCTGCCATAGCAAAAGCAGTGGCTGTACTCCCACCCCTGTGTTCTGTACTGTAAACTGGAACCCGGTGATGACCTTCAAATACCAGCTGCCCCATGCCTGGGCCTGGGCCGAATATAACGCTCACTGCAAACAAGTAGACACCACGTTTGGGGGCCCGGAAGTAGCTGTGTTCGGGGAAGTAGCTGCTGCCCACATTGACGGATGTGGTGTTGAACTTCACCATCTGCAGAGCACTCGCCGCTTCAGAGGAACTGGCATAGAAGGCCACGGGGGAGCCTGGCGGGCGGGGAGAATGTTCAGTGAGTTATTCATTCATTCACCAACTCTGCCATCCTCATCTTACTTGTGCTAGAATCGAGACACTATTTCTAGATACCTTCCACATTCCCAGAGGTGTTTGTCTCAGTCAGTGTGATTTCAAAGAGGAGAGGAAATACAGATCTGCTATCTGCTGTCTGACTGACAAAGGCATTTTCTCCTTTGATCCTCACAGAGAACTTTTTTCTTTGATCCTATCCTTTCTACTTTAGAGATATAAGTATCTTTGGATATTTATGCCTTGGTGGGCTGTGAGAAGCCTGGGTATCCAGCTCCCAGTTGTCTGCTTCCTGCCAAAGATCTTTCTTCCCTCCCTTCCTCCCTCCCTTTCAAATCAGTGTTAGGGATGGAACACAGGACCACACACATGCTAGACAAGGGCTCTACCACCAAGGCATGCCCCCAGCACATACCTGCTAGGAATCATGAGGCATCTGAGGAAAAAGAAACTATTACCTATCCACAAAATAACACTGGGAAATACCTGGGAGCAGGAATGGTGGTTCTCACCAGATGTGGGCACAAAGACCATAAAGGAAAAGCATGCCAGCCATGGTAGCTAACAGCTGTAATTCTAACACTGGAGACAGAGGCAGTAAAATCTTGATTTCTTTTTTTTATATTTGACAAATACTTTATTGTTTTAAATATTAAAAAAATTCAAGGTTATAATTACAACTTTTTTTTCTTCCCTTTCCTCCCTCCAAACCCTCTTAGAAAATCTTGATTTCAAAGCCAGTCTGAGCAACACAGTAAGACCTTCCTGAGCAGGGGCGAGGGTGGGGCGGGCTCTAGTTAGTCATCTAAAATGTTTGTGTTTATTATTTTATGTGTATGGATAGTGTTCCTGCATGTGTGTCTGTGTACCGTGTGCTTGGGTGGTGCCCCCAGAGGCCAGAAGAGCTCACCAGATCCCTTAGAACTGAATTCACAGCATCGACATGGTGAGCCGCCATGTGGGTGCTGGGAAGAGCAGCCAGAACTCTTAACTGCTAATCCATCTCTCCAGCCCTGGTTAGTCATCTTAACATAATTTCCAAAGTGCTACACAGAGCCCTAGCGTTGCATATGGGAAAATTGAAACCTATAAAGGGACAGTTTGCTGATTCAGACCACACACTCAGACCTTGGCCCTTGTGATTTGGGGTGCTCTCCTGTCCTCACTTGCAGAAGCACAATCCTACTGAAACTAGAGGCAGAGAAACACCCACCTGTGCAGTGAGGAAGGGTGCTGGCTGCTCCACCTATTTAGGAAGCTCAAGGGCAGACTGACAGTCATGAGATGGGGCAAGAACAGTGTACCTTACTGGAGTCCAGACATCACTGTGTGTGTGTGTGTGTGTGTGTGTGTGTGTGTGTGTGTGTGTGTGTCTCCTATTTTTCAGGAAACGGAACCAAGGCCTCAAAGAAGTCTGCGGAGCAGTTAGTGACTTAAGTTCATCGTTTTGCCTCCAAATCCAGAAATAGCTTTAGGAATGACGAAATTTTGCTTCTCTCTGTGTCTGGAAGATTTAATGAGAATTGTTTATGAATAGCTTTTCCTGTTCTTGCCACACTGAAAACAGGTCTGGTGTTTCAGTCCCTTAAGCACCCAGCAGGTGGAGCGCCTGCTTTAGTGAAAGGAGACTTTCCTGCAGCGCCCCCTACTGGCGGTTCTCTCGGCCTGCCTACATCTGGGCGGCCACCCTAGGCGAAGGAAGGCTGAGGGTTTCAGGAGATGGAAGCACTGTGAAAGCTGAGGGTGCACTTCCCCGAAGGGCACGAATTCAAGCTCTATGCCACCTCGCAAGAAAAGAGTTGTTAAAGGGGAAAATATTTTCGAATAAAAAATACTGCAGGAGGAAACAGATGCCTGACCTTATCAGTCAGGCAATTGGTGAGAAGCATGCTGGGACTTGCACCACTCTCACTGGGTTCCTGCATACTAAGCCCGTGCTGGGGAGACGAAGCTCTCAGTTTTGGTAACAACTCTTACGTGAGCGCCTCTGGGTTCAGCCTTCTGTGGACTTGCTGCCCCTGAGAGCTGGCCTCATTGTGCTGCTCACTGGTTAGGTTAGAATGTCATTTCCTGGTCTTGAGCCCCAGGTAAGATGTGATGATAATGAATGCATGATTGAGCAGCGCGGGCTGAGTCCTGAGAAAGCCCAGGAAAGGTATCGATATTTACACGGCTGACTGTATTTACTACGAGGGGAAGGTCTGTCCCTGTGTTCACCTCCGGTGGATGCTGCCATGACAGATGTGCTCCAATCTACCCTCCCTAGAGGGCAGGGGTGAGCTGATGAAAGATGGGGCGAAGGTGAAGACATTCCACTCTGCGCCACAGCGGGGCCTCGGCCGACTCATGGGTTCTGCAACTACAACTGATTCTTGGGACTCAGACCCTCCTGTACTCCTGGGAGCGTAAGAGGCCCATAGGCCCTGGAGGTAGGCCCCTGGGTGGGGGTGACCAGTGATCCTGGTTTCTCGCCCCTCATGCCCATCCCCCGAGAGGAGAAGGGAGCAGCTGGTCGGCAGATAGCCCCGTCCTAGATTCACACAGTCATTCTCCAGGCCCCAGGCACTCACCTGCCTGCCAGAGCTCTGAGTCCAGAACACGTTGCTCCAGCCCTTTGGCGTGCGCATCCGCAGACATGGCCACTTGCTTCTTCTCCCTTTTCCGGGATGCTCCCAGGCCTTTCTTGTCTTTCTTACTCACCATGGCCTGCAGCTTACTCAGGTCCAGGCTGGTGTTGCTTGCCACCAGCTCTTGGAAGTTCTGGAAGAGGCTGTGGAAGAGCTGCTGGTGCTGTCCCAGGCTACGCCGGGTGTCCGAGAGCACGGTCTGTACATCTTCGAGGGAGCCGTTGAGGGAGGCCTCACAGCACTGCCCAACCTGCTTGACGTGGGAGCTCAGGCGCTCAACCTCCTGCTGCAGGTCCGCCAAAGCCATGGCTTCCCCCTCTTTCCCCGAGTTGTGGCCGGGCTCCAGACGCTCTGCCAGTGGCGGGCGCTGCTCCACAAGGCCCCTTGCGGCCTGCTCCAAGGTCTCCACCCGAGTGGCCAAGGCCTCCCAGCCGAACAGCTGTTCCTGCAGCCCGGTGGCCGCGTCCTGCAGGGCGAGGCGGATCTGCTCGTAATTCAGAGGCAGCGGGCGAGGGGCCTCCTCCGACAGCTCCTCCATCATCTCCTCCCCGAAGAGTGCCGCCAGCACCGCCTGATGCCGCAGCGCATCCTCCAGCAGCGCTGCGAAGGAGCCGTGCAGGCGACGCATCTCTTTGCGGGTTCCGTTCGCTGCTGCCTTCAGCGCCTCCACCTCGTGGTCCATAGCCCGCAGCTTGCTCCGCAGCTGGGCCCTCTCGGCCCGCGCCCGCTCACCCTCTCCTTTGTACGCGTCCATCGCTGAGGACATGGCATCTACAGTGCTTTGCAAGGCCTGCAAAGAAGGACCGTCCAGCTGGTGCTGTTCGTCCAGGCTCACTTGGGTCTCTTCCACAGTGCGCATGGCGTTCCTTTGGTCCTCCCGGATGTCGTCCGTGTCAGAGTAGAGCCTCTGGCAGTTGCAGTCCTTGACGTACTTGATGAGGTCTGCGTGACCTGCCTGCAGGTGCTGCAGAGTGAGGTTGAGCTCCAAGAGCTGCCGCTCCATCTCCTCTTTGTTCTCCTCCATGATCAGGGACTTCTCCATCAAGATGACCCGCAGCTCTCGAAGCCCCGTGTGGTTCACCAGCAGCTCCTCCACCTGCCGTTCTACCTTGCTGATCTGGTCGAAGGTCTCGTCCGATTCGGAATACAGCTCCTTGATTTCGTTCACGTGCTGCTTCAGGATACTGTTCATGTCCTCGAGCGTGCTCTGCAGCGCATCCTCCCTCTGGTTGACGGCCACGTGCAGGGCAGAGAGATTTCGCTGCAGCTGCCCCAGCCTGGCCTGCAGGCTCTCTGGCTCTGGCCTTGCTGCCGCAGCTGCAGCTGTTACCACCAGGCTGCCATTGGTCCCTGGATGTTCCTGAGCCTTGATGAGCTGCTTTAACTTGGTGCCCACCTCAGCCTGGACCTCAGAGAGGGCATGGTGCAGGGAACGGTGCTGGGCATGCAGCTGGACCTCCACATCCTGCCACAGCTGGCCCAGTCTCTGGCTATTCTCCTGGACCTTGGCCTCAAGCTTGGCACCAAACTCTTGGAAGTCAGCCCTGGCCACGGTGACCTCCTGGATCATCTTGATGGCCTGGCGATTGGCGGCCACATCAAGAGACAAGTTTCTGATAGCCTGGGAGAGGCTGTGCAAACTCTCACTGAAGCTCTTCCAGACGGGAGTGAAGTGTGCTTGCAGGAACGCATCGATTTGGGGCTGCAGCGGGTGCTCTGATGTCCTGCCAGGAAACTCTGCAACAGATACCATGTTTCACACAGTCAGCTGCAGACACCTCTTCCCAGGCTGGGAGAGCAGGGCCTCTGAAGTCTGGTCTTCTCGGGGGTGCTACTCACCGGATTCTGTTTGATTGGCTTCTGTCATCTCAGCTGTGAGGTTGCTGTCCGGGGCCTCCCAAAGGCCTGGGAAGCCATCTTCTACCAGCTGGGCATCATTCTGGAGATTTTGAAGCTGGTGTTCCTGTCTTTCCTGTGGCCCATTGATCTCATTGAATTCTGTGACAGGATGGCCTGAAAACACACCAGGCATAAGTGTTAAAGGCCGACTCACCAGGCCTGGGCAGATAATGAGGTCAGGAAAAGACTTGGGACTCAGAACAGGAGAGTATGTTGGTCTCTTTTGAACTGGGACTTAGAAACCATCAGTCTTCTAGGAAGGGCAAATGTAGATCTCTGAGTTATCTATCACCTTTTCACACATACCCACAGCAGACATGACTAATCAGTCAGCTCATTTCTTTCCTTGGCCACAATTTCATTCCTGACAGCTCTAACCAATAGATAGCTGATCACATAATGACATCTATACCCTAACCCACCCTTGAAATCAATTCATAAATGGTGATTCTTGTGTTGACATTGGCACCAGGGGCAAAATGGCTTCCAGGCCCTGGTATTGAGGGGAGGGGAGGGGAGGGAGGTACAAGTGTGTGGAAGAGCTTCCTCCATATCTGGAAGCTTGTATAGGTCAAAGATCAAGAAAGGTACCTGGCAAAGCCAGCTTTCCAAGAAAAATGGGGTCAGTAAAAGGGACGGGAATCAGTCCCAGGCAGTAGGCAAAGGGCTCTGGGAACCTGGCCCCAGAGAATAGCACAGGGCCACAGGAAACCCATGCTGATTCTAAGGGCCAAGTTTTCCTGAGATGGTACAGCCCATCGGAGGAGGAAAAACGAAACATGTGAACTCTCCTTCCAGGAGAGCAACGCACCAAGGTCAAAGCCATCCAGCTGGTCCCAGGTCTCTCTGAGCTTGCCACTCGCCTCTGTGGGCTCGGGGCTTGCTGTGGGATCTGCAGAAGGAAGCAGGGTGTGCTCATCCCAGAAGTCGGAGAGTGCTTTATGGGGTCAGGGGCTAAGAGGGGGCTTTGGGAAGCCCTACCATGGTCCTGGCAGTCCGGACCCTGGAACCCTGGGCAGCACCTCCAATCCACAGAGATCAGCACCTTCTGCTGGACCTGGTACACGGGCTTCTGGGCCACTCGGTACCTGAGGAAGAAGGCAGGGCCTCAGCACCCCTGGTAAGCCCAACTGGGCCTGGAAATGGCCTGTCCACCCCACTCACGTGACTTTGACTCTCTCGCAGTCAGAAGCCCCCTGTGGACATGGCTGTTGTGAGTGGACCAGGAATTTCTCTGTTTTGCAAGCAGCTACGAAGGTGACCAGCTTGGACTTCTGGTAAGGGCACCAGTTCCTGGAAAAGAAGCCATAGGAGAAGATTGCTGAACCTTGCCTGGTCCCTTACGAAATGTTTAGGGATGTTCTACCCTGCCTCCTGTTCTCCCCAGCTCTGGGAGTCTGGAAACCATTAAATGCAAGGGAAGGAAGGTGTTGCCTTAATTCCTAGGCTCTACAAAGCCACTCAAAAGAGCCCCTGACCCAGTGTCTTCCCAGAGCCTCCCAGAGCCAGTGGAGTGAGACCGAGAATTCCCATGGTCATAACATAGCTCCCTGTGGGGGGTGGGGAGGAGGTCTCACTGCTCCCTCGACGCCAGGGGTCATTGTGGTGCAGCTGGGTTTGGGGAGCCTTAGGTCCCTGAATCTGCATTTTGTGGCTGTGACCTTGAGCAATACACTTAAGGAGTTCTTATTTCCCATCGCTAGTTGACTGTGCTGGTGCCCATTTCCAAGGGCCTGGAGTATCAGGGGCTCTAGAGGCACTTGGTGCCCCGTCCCGGCAGCTGCCCAATTCTCCTCCCATCTTTTCTCACCAGAATCTACTCTCTGGCCCTGCCTCCTGGGCAGCTGGCTTCCTGGCAGTTACTGGGAAAAGAAGGTGGATTGGGTGGGACGGCCTCCTCTCCGGGAAAGGCCCTCACTTAGTGATCCTGCAGGGCAGCTGGAGGTGCTCAGTGCTTTGGAGGCAGCCTCTCCACTTTTACCCTTGCCAGTATGCACTGCAGAGGGCCTGCGGTGCAGAGCATGCTCACGCTGACCTAGGGCTGGCTCCCTGGGTTCAATGCAAGGGTCAAAGCATTCTCCCTCACAGTCAGCTCTCAGAACAAAGGTCTACAGAGATGTAAGTGGCCATTGCCTCTGCTGTCCCATGCAATTCAGCATCTCTTGGGTGACAGGTACTGGGCTCAAGTTCAGCACTTGCTGTGACACTATGGTAGTACAGACTTTCCCTTAAGGGTCCCAAGGAGAACAGGCAATCACAGAAGGGATGTGGTTAGGACCTATAAAAGGTCTGATATATATCGTGTGTGTGTGTGTGTGTGTGTGTGTGTGTGTGTGCAGTATCTAAAGGGCAAGTCACACAAGGAGCTGGAAGTCAGAAGAGACAACAGATAGAGGCAAAGGAACTAGAAGCTATGTTAGGGAGGCATGGGTACCAGAAGAAGAACTGGGCCATTTTTTGAGGTCATGGGGGAAGCACTGAGAGGTTTCAAGCAGGGAAGCAATATCACAGAAGCAGTCTGGTCCCAGGGTCCAGAAAGGATGCAAGTCAGTAAGATATGGATAATAGTAATGATAATGGTTTTAGGGTCTAGGGGAGAAATTCAGTCATCTTGGACCAGGTGATAGGGATATGCAGGAAGTGGCCATGTTTGTAGGTCTCAGAGAGCAGCAATATTCAGGGGCTTTGCTGATTGGGTGGCTTGTTTGGAATTTCACATTCTGAAGCTGCTCTTTGCCCTGGGGCCATTAGGCACCATTAAAGATGTAATGCTCATTGTGTGACCACATCCATTGTGCTCCTGAGACATCCCGCTCCTCCTCACCCCACCCCACCCCACCCCACCCCACCCCACCCCACCACACCACACCACACAGCCTGCTTTCCCACCAGGTTCCTAGAAGCCTGACAAGCAGCCTTTACCTTATAGGCATCAGGCCAGGAAAGCTTTGCAGGAAAACTAGCTAGTCCCAGCAAAAGAGACCTGAAGATGCTGACATGAGGAGAGTCTCTTGGTCCAACAGAGCCTCTACATCAAAACAGGTCAGAAAGGCACAACCCGACCTCTGAGGATGACCCCGGAGAAAAACCTGTTTCAAAACAAGAAAGCTGGACCAAGGTGTAGCTTGGAGTTGGAGCGTGTAATTGGCAGGTATGAGGCCCCAATTAAATCCTCACTACTGAAAAGAAGAATGAAACAGATCATCGGGAGGTCAAAATGGACCACTGGGAGAAGGTTCAAGTCTGTGCACAAGGAAAGAATACTAGTACTTCCATGTAGATGAAAAGTCACCACATTGAAGATTCCAACCCTTGCCTGTACATCAAGACCATCAGTGGCTTTTTAAAAGTAAAAATCCCCTGTGGGTTGAAGGTGCGTCTTGATGGTAGAGTATGTACTGAGCATGCCAGGGATTCACTCCCAAGCTTCATCATAAAGTAATAATAACAATAAATCTCTAAGCCCAACCCCAGACCAGTTTCAGGAGACCACAAGTCTGGGCCAGTGCATTAGCATTCTAGAACTCTCTGGGTCACTCCAAGGCACAGCCTAGAATTGAGTGCCACTTGGACCCAGGAAATCCACCAGTGCCAGAGAACGAAACAGCCAGTTGTGGTGGAGAATGCTTAGAGTCCTAGCACTCAGCGTCTGAGGCAGGAGGATTTTGAGTTCCAGGCTAGCCTGAACTATATAGTGACTGTAAAGGCAGACTAAGCTGTATATCAAGATTCTGTTTTGTGAGGCTATGGAGATGACTCAGTAGTTAAGAGGACTCGCTGCAGGGGGAACACTGCTCCATTTCCGGTAGAAGTGCAAACTTGTACAGCCACCACGGGAATCAATAAAACAGTTCCTCAGAAAATTGGGGATTGACCTACCTCAAGACTCAGTCATACCATTCCTGGACATATATCCAAAGGACACTCTGTCCTACCACAAGGGCACTTGCTAAATCATATTCGTTGCTGCTCTATTCATGATAGCCAGAAACTGGAAACAACCTAGATGTACCTCAACAGAAGAATGGACAAAGAAAATGTGCTGCATTTACATAATGGAATATTACTTAGCTGTTAAAAAAAAAAAGACATCATGAAGTTTGCAGGCAAATGGATGAAACTAGAAAAAACCATCCTGAGTGAGTTAACCCAGACCCAGAAAGACAAACATGTATACATTTACACATGGACATCAGCTATGAAATAAAGGATAATCATGCTATAACCCACAAAGCCAGAGAGGCTAAGTAACATGAAGGGGCCAAGGGGGGAATGCATGAATCTCCCTGGGAAGGGGAAATAGAATAGATTCTGCAGGTGGACTGAGCACAGGTAAGGGTGGGAACAGAAGGGAGCATTGTGGGTGGTGGAGGGAGAGAGTACTGGGAGACACAGCTGGAACTCGGGGCATTTGGGTGGCAATTTGGAAACCTGGTACAGTGCAAACTCCCCGTATCTACAAGAGCGACCCTATCTGGTAATGGGGGACACCGAGCCAAACTGGCCATCTTCTATAACCAGGCAAAGCTCCCCAAAATGGGACTAGGACATCAATCCAGCCACAAAAGCTTCCACCCACAATCTGTCCTGCCTGCAAGATGTGCTGGGGTCATGGTGGTACAGACCTTGTGGAAATGGCCAATCAGTGACTGGTCCAACTTGAGGCCCACACAGGAGAGGAAGCCCATGCCTGACACTGCCTGGATGGCCAGGAACTAGAGTCTGGACAGCACAAGACCCAGGATAGAACAAAACATAACTGAAAAAAAAAAGTTCACAAAATGGTTCCTAATAATATTCTGCTATACTCAGATTGGTGCTTAGCCTAAGTGTCATCAGAGAGATGGGAACAGATGATGCAGAGACCCACAGCCAAACACTAGGCAGAGCCAGGGGAACCCCATAGAACAGGGGGAGGAAGGATTGTAGGAGCCAGAGGGATCAAGGATACCAAGAGAGATGGCCCATGAAATCAACTAAGCAGGGCTCATAGGGGCTCATAGAGACTGAGCTAGGTCCTCTGCGTATATATTGTGGTCGTGCAGCTTTGTGTTCTTGTTGGACTCCTCCTAACAGTGGGAGTGGAGAGGGGTGTCTCTGACTCTTTTGCCTGCACTTGAGACCCTTTTCCTCCTATTGGGTTGCCTCATCCAGCCTGGACATGAGGGATTGTGCCCACCATTATGATAGCTTATAATGCCATCCATGTTTGGTTGATACTCCCCCTGGAAGGCCTGCTCTTTATTTGAAGGGAAACAGAGAGAGGGAGAAACAGGGAGAAGGGAGGGGGTGGGTGGCTGGAGACTGGGAGGAGTAGAGGGAAGGGAAACTTCAGTCAGGATGTAATACATGAGAGAAGTATTAAATACATGAATAAATAAATAACTAAACAAACAAATAAGAGCTAGCTACTCTTCCAGGGGACTAGCTCCAGTTCCAGGGAGCTTCTTCTGGCCTCTGCAGACACGAGGCACATGCCTCATGCATAGACATTGTGGGCCAACGATGTAGTCCAGAGGGCAGCCTACAGGGCAGCTCTGGAAGAGTCTTCACGAAGAGTTGGTTGAGCATCTGATAAGAGTGCTAAGAGTAGATATGGACGAATGGTTGAAAGGTTGAACTTCACTCAGTTAGTTAGCTAGCTAGCTAGTTAGTTAGTTTTTTTGAGACAGGGTTTCTCTGTAGCCTTAGCTGTCCTGGACTCGCTTTGTAGAACAGGCTGCCCTCGAACTCACAGAGATCTGTTTGCCTCTGCCTTCCTGAGTGCTGGGATTACAGGCATGTGCCACCTTGCCCAGCTGAGAAGTTGAACTTTTATTTTATTTTTTGTTTTTTGGTGTGATTTTGTTTTGTTCTGTATTGAGACAGGGTTTATCTGTGTAGCCTTGGCTGTCCCGGACTTACTTTATAGACAGGCTTGCCTGGAACTCATAGAGATCCTCCTGCCTCTGCCTCCCTGAGTGCCAAGATTACAGGCATGTACCACCATGCCCGGCTGAGAAGTTGAACTTTTAAACAGTGACAAAAACAGAAAACCAAGCAGAGAGGAAAAAAGATTTTAAAAAAGAAAAAGACAGTGTTTTACTCCAGAGAAAACTCAATGCATGCAGCAGAAAAAAATGATTCATAGTTTATTTCAAGACTCAACTCAAGTAGCTGTCACCATCACATGGTTAGAAACACTCTGAAGATAAGGGAGAATGGTGAGGGTATGTGTGTGCCTGCAGGTGTTTACCTCTGGGAGCTACGGAAGATGGGATCTGACTCGTAGACATTACTACTTCCAAAGAAGT